AGTATACAAGACACCTGCTGTCCTGTGGTACAGCACAGTATACAAGATGTACCTGTCCAGTAGTACAGCACAGCATACAAAGATACCTGTCCAGTGGTACAGTACGGCAGTATACAAGATACCTGTCCAGTGGCATAGCACAATACAGGACAGTATACAAGATACCTGTCCAGTGGTACAGCACAGTACAGTATGGGCCAAGATACCTGTCCAGTGGTGCTGGCACAGGAGGCTGAAGATACCTGTCCTGTGGTACAGCATGCAGTATACAAGATACCTGTCCAGTAGCACAGCACAGCATACAAGATACCCGTCCAGTGTGGCACAGCACGGCACAGCATGGGCCAAGATACCTGTCCAGTGGCATGCACAGCACAGCACAGCATATGACACCTGTCCAGTAGCACAGTACAGCACAGTACAGTATACAAGATACCCCTCTCCAGTAGTTCAGCACAGCATACAATGCCTGTCCAGTGGTACAGCACGGGCACAGCATACAAGATACCTGTCCAGTGGTACAGTACAGTACAGTACAGCATACAAGATACCTGTCCAGTGGTACAGTACAGCACAGTACAGCATACAATATACTTTCCTTGTCCAGTGGTACAGCACAGTACAGCACAGTATACAAAAAATACCTGTCCAGTAGTACAGCACAGTACAGTACAGTACAGCATACAAGATACCTGTCCAGTGGTACAGCACAGCACAGTACAGTATACATACAAGATACCTGTCCAGTGGTACAGTACAGTATACAAGATACCTGTCCAGTGGTACACAGCATGGTACAGTATACAAGATACCTGGGTCCAGGGTGGTACAGTACAGTACAGTATACAAGATACATGTCCAGTGGTACAGTACAGTACAGTATACAAAGATACCTGTCCATAGTGGTACATTATATTACAGTATACCTGTCCAGTGGTACAGTACAGTATACAAGATACCTGTCCAGTGGTACAGCACAGTACAGTATACAAGATACCTGTCCAGTGCGCTGTAGTACAGTATACAAGATACCTGTTCAGTGGTACAGTACAGTATACAAGATACCTGTCCAGTAGTACACAGTACAGTATACAAGATACCTGTCCAGTGGTACAGTATACAAGATACCTGTCCAGTGGCATAGCATAATGGTGACGCATAAGATACAGTCCAGTGGCACAGCACAGCATAGTATACAAGATACCTGTCCATTGGTACAGTACAGTAAAAGCAGTATACAAGATACCTGTCCAGTGGTACAAGTACAGCACAGTATACAAGAAACTTCCATTGGTACAGCACAGTATACAAGATACCTGTCCAGTGGTACAGCACAGTACAGTACACAGATACCTGGGTCCATTGGTACAGTACAGTACAGCATACAAGATACCCGTCCATTGGTACAGCACAGCACAGGCATACAAGATACCTGTCCATTGGTACAGCATACAGTATACAAGAAACCTGTCCATTGGTACAGTACAAGTACAGTATACAAGATACCTGTCCAGTGGTACAGTAATATATACAAGATACCTGTCCAGTGGTACAGGGCATAGTACAGTACAGTATACAAGATACTCCAACCAGTGGTAAAGTACAGTATACACAAGATACCTGTCCAGTGGCAATAGTACAGTGCCAGCATATACAGCATACAAGATACCTGTCCAGTGGTACATTTCAGTACAGTACAGTATACAAGAAACCTGTCCATTGGTACAGCACAGCACAGTACAAGATACCTGTCCAGTGGTACAGCACAGTACAGTATACAAGATACCTGTCCAGTGGCATACAGCATATATACAAGATACCTGTCCAGGGTGTGTGTGTGTGTATAGCATAGCACAAAGCCAGTATACAAGATACCTGTCCAGTGGTACAGCATGGTACAGTATACAAGATACCTGTCCAGTAGTACAGTACAGTATACAAGAAACCTGTCCAGTGGTACAGTACAGTACAGTATACAAGATACCTGTCCAGTGGTACAGTACAGTACAGTACAGCACAGCATACAAGATACCTGTCCAGTGGCACACAGCACAGCACAGCATACAAGACACTGTCCAGTGGTGGCTGGAAAGCACAGCACAGTATACAAGATACCTGTCCAGTGGTACAGCACGGCACAGTATACAAGATACCTGTCCAGTACTACAGTACAGTATACAAGAAACCTGTCCAGTGGTACAGCACATTACAGTATACAAGATACCTGTCCAGTGGTACAGCACAGTACAGTATACAAGATAATTGTCCACAGTGGTACAGCACATGCACACAGTATACAAGATACCTGTCCAGTGGTACAGTACAGCATACAAGATGGGCCTGTCCTGTGGTACAGCACAGTATACAAGATACCTGTCCAGTAGTACAGCAGCACAGTATACAAGATACCTGTCCTGTGGTACAGCACAGTATACAAGATGTCTGTCCAGTAGTACAGCACAGCACAGTATACAAGATACCTGTCTCAGTAGTACAGCATGTACAGTATACAAGATACCTGTCTGGCTGGTTGTGCATACAAGATACCTGTCCAGTAGTACAGCACACAGTACAGTATACAAGATACTGTCTGTAGCAGTACAGCACAGCAAGATACCTGTCCAGTGGTACAGTACAGTATACAAGATACTGTCTGTGGTACAGTACAGTATACAAGTGAAACCTGTCTAGTGGTACAGTACAGTACAGTATACAAGATACCTGTCCAGTGGTACAGTACAGCAAGGTAGTATACAAGATACTCTGTCCAGTGGTACAGCATAGTATAGTATACAAGATACCTGTCCAGTGGTACAGTACAGTACAGTACAGCACAGTATACAAGATACCTGTCCAGTGGTATAGTACAGTATGCCAAGATACCTGTCCAGTGGCAGTACAGTACAGTATACAAGATACTCCGTCCAGTGTGGTACAGCACAGCACAGTACAGCATACAAGACATACCTGTCCAGTGGCATAGCACGGCACAGTATACAAGACACCTGTCCAGGTACAGCACAGTACAGCATACAAGATACCTGTCCAGTGGTACAGCACAGCACAGTACAGTATACAAGATACCTGTCCAGGGTACAGCACGGTACAGTATACAAGATACCTGTCCTAGTACAGCACAGTATACAAGAAACTGTCCAGTGGTACAGTACAGCATAGTACAAGATACCTGTCCAGTGGTACAGTACAGTACAGTACAGTATACAAGATACCTGTCCAGTAGTACAGTACAGTATAAATAAGAAACCTGTCTAGTGGCAAGGCACAAGGGCTGTGTATACAAGATACCTGTCCAGTGGTACAGCATGTGCACAGTATACAAGACACCTGTCCAGGGTACAGCACAGGCATACAAGCAAGATAATTGTCCTGTGTGGCACAGTAGCACAGCATACAAGATACCTGGTCCACAGTAGCACAGCACAGCAAGGAAGAGTGGCCAAGATACCTGTCCTGGGGTACACAGCACAGCACACAAGATACCTGTCCAGCTGTACAGCATAGCATACAAGCATGATACCTGGTCCAGTAGCACAGTACAGTACAGCATAAGACACTTCCGTCCAGTAGTACAGTGCACAGTATAGCTAAGATACCTGTCCAGTAGTATGTAGCAGTACAGTATACAAGATACCTGTCCAGTAGTACAGTACAGTATACAAGATACCTGTCCAGTAGTACAGTACAGTACATATGAAGATACTCTGTCCAGTGGTACAGCACAGTATACAAGATACCTGTCCAGTAGCAATAGCACAGTACAGCATACAAGATACCTGTCCAGTAGTACAGTACAGCATACAAGATACCCGTCCGTAGCACAGCACAGCACAGCATGGCCAAGATACCTGTCCAGTAGTACAGCATAGTATACAAGATACCTGTCCAGTGGTGTACAGCACAGTATACAAGATACCTGTCCACAGTGGCACAGCACAGTACAGCATACAAGATACCTGTCTATGGTACAGTACAGTACAGTATACAAAGATACCTGTCCAGTGGTACAGGCATAGTACAGTATACAAGATACCTGTCCAGTGGTATGGAAAGTACAGCACAGCATAAGACACTGTCTAGTGGTACAGCACAGCATACAAGATACGTGTCCAGTGGTATAGCATACAGTACAGTACAGTACAGTATACAAGATACCTGTCCAGTGGTACAGCACAGCATAACAAGATACCTGGTCCAGTGGCACAGTACAGCAGTATACAAGATGTCTGTCCAGTGGTACAGTACAGTATACAAGATACCTGTCCAGGTGGTACAGTACAGCACAGTGATGTACAAGAAACTGTCCAGTGGGTACAGCACAAGTACAGTATACAAGATACCTGTCCAGTAGTACAGCACAGTACAGTACAGTATACAAGAAACCTGTCCAGTGGCACAGTACAGTACAGTATACAAGATACCTGGTCCAGTGGTACAGTACAGTATACAAGATACCTGTCTAGTGGTGTACAGCATACAGCATAGCACAGCACAGTATACAAGATACCTGTCCAGTGGTAC